TTGAGGTAGTTTCCTTCTATGCCCATTTTGTTCAGAGTTTTTATCATAAATGACTGTTGGATCTTGTCAAATGCCTTCTCTGCATCTATTGAGATGATCATGTGGTTTTTATTCCTCAGTTTGTTGATGTGGTGTATCACGTTGATTGATTTGCGGATGTTGAACCATCCCTGTGTCCCTGGTATGAATCCCACCTGATCCTGATGTATGATTCTTTTGATGAATTGCTGAATTCTGGTTGCCAAAATTTTGTTTAGAATTTTTGCATCTATGTTCATCAGTGATATTGGCCTGTAGTTCTCTTTTTTCGTGGTGTCCTTGTCAGGTTTTGGTATCAGCGTGATGTTAGCCTCATAGAATGTGTTAGGAAGTGTTCCATCTTCCCTAATTTTTTGGAATAGCTTGAAAAGGATAGGTATTAAATCCTCTCTGAAAGTTTGGTAGAATTCCCCAGGAAAGCCATCTGGTCCTGGGGTTTTATTCTTTGGGATGTTTCTGATTGCTGTTTCAATCTCTTTCCTTGTGATTGGTCTGTTCAAATTGTCTGCCTCTTCTTGAGTGAGCTTTGGGAGATTGTAGGAGTCCAGGAATTTATCCATTTCCTCTAGGTTATCCATTCTGTTGGCATATAGTTTTTTGTAGTATTCTCTTATAATCTGTTGTATTTCTGCAGAGTCTGTTGTTATTTCTCCTTGCTCATTTCTGATTTTGTTTATTTGAGCTTTCTCCCTTTTTTTCTTTGTAAGTCTGGCTAGTGGTTTGTCAATTTTATTTATCTTCTCAAAAAACCAGCTCTTTGTCTCATTGATCCTTTCTACTGCCTTTTTCATTTGAATAGTATTTATTTCTGCTCTGATTTTTATTATTTCTCTCCTTCTGCTGACTTTGGGCTTTATTTGTTCTTTTTTCTCTAGTTCAGTTAGGTGTGCTTTAAGGTTGCTTATTTGGGATTTTTCTTGTTTGTTAAGATGTGCCTGTATTGCGATGAATTTTCCTCTTAATACAGCTTTTGCTGTATCCCATATGAGTTGGTATGGCATGCTATCATTTTCATTTGTTTCCAGGTATTTTTTAATTTCTTCTTTAATTTCTTCAATGACCCATTCTTTGTTCAGTAGTGTGCTGTTTAGTCTCCACATCTTTGTGCCTTTCCTCAGCTTTTTTCTTGTAATTAATTTCTAGCCTTACTAGCTACTATGATCTGAGAAGATGCTTGTTATTATTTCAATTTTTTTAAATTTGTAGAGGCTTGCCTTGTTTCCCAACATATGGTCTATCCTAGAGAATGTTCCATGTGCACTTGAGAAGAATGTGTATTCAGCTCCTTCAGGGTGGAGTGATCTATATATGTCTATTAAGTCCAATTGTTTTAGTTTTTCATTTAGCTCCACTATTTCCTTGTTGATTTTCTGTCTGGATGATCTGTCCATTGATGTGAGTGGGGTGTTGAGGTCCCCTACTATTATTGTGTTGTTTTTAACATCTTCCTTTAGGTCTGTTAATAGTTGCTTTATGAATCTTGGTGCTCCTGTGTTGGGTGCATAGATATTTATAAGCGTTATTTCTTCTTGATGAAGTGTCCCTTTGATCATTATATATTGTCCCTCTGTGTCTCTCTTTACCTGTCTTATTTTGAAATCCACTTGGTCTGATATGAGAATTGCAACACCTGCCTTTTTTTTCCTTGCTATTTGCTTGAAGTATTGTCCTCCACCCCTTCACCCTGAGTCTGTGTTTGTCCTTGGGGCTGAGGTGTGTTTCCTGGAGGCAACAAATTGTTGGATCTTGTTCTTTAATCCATTTTGCCACTCTGTGTCTTTTTATTGGAGAGTTCAATCCGTTCACATTGAGAGTGATTATTGATGCATGTGGACTTAATGCTGTCAATCTGTCGCTCATTATCTTGTTTTCCTGTGTTTCTTTTCCTGTGTGCTTTAGACTACCCAGTTAATACTGCAATTTCTTATGCTGGGTTTCTTAGATTTTTCCTTATCTATGATTTGTGACTCTGTTCTGTACTTTATTTTAGTGTCTACCTTGAAGTTTGTATTTAGAATCTCGTATATAATATAGTCTATTCTCTGGTGGTCTCTTACTTACTCGATCAATACTGATTTAGACCCTTTGCTCTTCCCCTCCTAAGTAATTATTTTCATTTTTTATTCCAACTCGTCTTATTAATTTGTAGTTAGAGTGCTAAGATCGTCCTTGTTTTGGTAGTTTCCTTATTTTTACCCTAATGCTATAGTTGAATATTTGCTATCCTGTTCTGGTTCTATCCATCGGTCTCCCTAGTCTGTGGATTGTGTCCCCTTTCTCCCTTTTTTCTTTTTTCAAGTATGAGAGCCTTCTTGAGGATTTCTTGTAATGGAGGGCTTTTAGTTACAAATTCCCTTAACTTTTGTTTGTCTGGAAAAGATTTAATTTCTCCCTCATATCTGAAGGAAATTCTTGCTGGATAGAGTATTCCTGGCTGAAGGTTTTTATCCTTTAAAGCTTTGAATATATCACTCCATTCTCTCCTAGCTTGTAGGGTTTCTGTAGAGAAATCTGCTGACAGTTTGATAGGGGCTCCTTTATAGGTTATTCTCTTTTTTTTTCTTACTTCCCTGAGTATTCTTTCCTTATCATTCCTATGTGCCAACTTTACTATTATGTGCCTTGCGGTGGGTCTTTTTACATTGACAAATCTAGGAGATCTAAAACCCTCCTCTACACACATTTCTCCATTGATCCCTAGATTTGGGAAGTTCTCTTCAATAATTTCGTTAAGCACACTTTCTGCTCCATTTTCCTTTTCCATATTCTCGGGAATTCCTATGATCCTTATGTTCTTACTCCTCATTGAATCCATTATCTCACGGAGATTTTCCTCATTTTTATTAATTCTTAGTTCTCTTTCTTCCTCTGTCTGGCGCCATTCAGCCTGTCTGTCCTCGATTATGCTGATTTGCTCCTCTAGGTTGTCTACACGGGCATTCAGGGAATCCGTATTCTGTTTTATCTGGTCCATTGTGTTTTTCATCTCAAGTAATTCTGTTTGATTCTTCTTTATGATTTCAATCTCTTTTGTGAAGTAACTCCAGAACTCGGCTTGTTTCTCTATCTTTCTCTCTACCTCATTGAGTTTTTTGATTATAGCTGCTCTGAATTCATTATCACTTAGTTTACCTAATTCCAAGTCCTCAGGACTTAATTCTGTGTCTTTATTGTTTTCCTTCTGGTCTGGGGCTTTTATAAATTGCTGGATGGTAGAGGAGCAGTTTTTTCTCATGGTGGTAGAATTCAGTTGCAGTTACAGCCTGTCGCCACTAGATGGGGGTCGAGAGTGGCGTGTTAGCTCTCCGCCTTCGGGGCAAGATGGCTGCGCCCACTGCCTTTGTTAGGGGGGAGGGGCTGTTACTCACACGCGCCGGTCTGGGTTTAGATCAGTTCTGTTCTCTGGTCTCCCAAGGCCCTTGATTTATGGGGTCCCAGCAGACGGAAGCTTTCCCCCGTCAGCGGGTCTCCACTGAATCAGCCCCAGGAGTCCTGGCCCCACGCGGCCCCTCCCCCGCTCCTTCCCGACCCACGCCTCAGTGATCGCAGACTCTAGGGGAGGGAGCGATGTTCTCTCCTACCGTTCTGGCACCTCCGAAGGTGTAAGCAAGGTTATGATCTCTGCCTTCTTGGTATTGTAGGTCTCTAACGAGCTGGCATTATGTTTATTCTCTGAAATTCAGTTCTTCCAATCTTTTGTTGTATTTTGGAGGGGAGAGAATCCCGGGTCAGCTCACCCAGCCATTTTGCTCCGCCCACCGCTCCACTGTTTTTGAGAGTACACTTAGGCTTGAACATCCCTACACTCTGTTTTGAATAAAGTTGGTTCCTTTGGGAGATCTTCAGATGCTCGTGTTCTCATGGATGCCTCTCTCCCTGGGGAAGTTCTTTAAGCCATGGCCCCAGTGCTTATGGCAGCAGCAGAGGCCTGTCTACCTCAGAGTTACATCCCTGCACTATGAGCAAGGAACTGGACTGGGGCAGTGGCCTCTGGTCTTCTCGGCTTGCCTCTCCTGGTATGGAAGCTCTGCCCTACAAGTGAGCTGGAGTGAGAGTAATTGGGACTCAGTATTTTCAGCCTGCCACATGTGGGTTAGAGGCCCTACTCTCTGAGTGGGGGCTGAATGGTGGAAGGAACACCCCCACAATATTAACCAGGCTTGCCAGGAATTTAGCCTCTGCAACTTGGAGCTGTGGTGGTTGAGGAATGCTAGTGGTCTGGCCCTCCCAGTAGATACCCATATCCCTTGACTGGGACCTGGGGGAAAGGATACCACATTTTCTTGGCCATGCCTACCCAGAGTGGAATTTCTTTCATGCTGAGCTGGGAGGAGCAGGGAGGGAGTGATCAAGTCCTGGATCCGGTGTGGCAGACTCTCCTTGTTCTTACTGAAATTTAGTAACTTTCTTGAATAAATGTGTCTGCACTTACTGTATGTCCTTGGGACCATTTCCAGAGATGTTAAATGACTGTTTAAAAGGTATTTTTCACCAGTTATGATTGTTTCACTGGACAGGGTAGGGGCGGGTCTACAGATCTCCTCATGACACCATTCCAGAAGGGGAACCCTCCACTGGATGTAATCAAGCATCCAGAACAGAAAAGAAAACTTTATTGAGAAAGAAATAGATTCAAACAAAGTCAAAGGTGGGTTACTTATAGCATAGATTGTAAAGATCTGGGGAGCAATACTTTGCTTTCCTCCTGTTTGCCAAAACATGACAAAAGAAATGCAGATGTGTTTCTGTACAGAGTTCATTGACCTCCCCGCCTTCCAAGGACACTGCGCCTGGGCCCTACACAAAGGAATGTGTCTGGGCTGGGGGCCAAAGATGGCCACTTCGGCCCTGACTCTAAGGCACAAGTTACAAAGAATATGTCCTGCGTCATATTCCTTTCTGGGCTGGCCTCCCCGACAGGCACCTGACAGGACTTTAGAAACATCCTATCCGTGGGAACAAAATATATAGAAGCACCCCATGCGTGGGAACAAGAAGAAATAACTCAAAGTATCCAAATGTCTGAAACCCTGAGTCAGAACCTAGAGAAACCTTAGGATAAAAGAGAGTCACAAGCATAGAGCAATTGGGAGTCTCACTTAGGAAAAGACGCTTTGCTTCAGACCTGGACAATCGGCACTCCCACGCACCGTACAAACTACTGGGACTTCCCTGGCTGATTGTGGTGTGGATGTTGTAAGTACCGATTTGTTGTTCCCCTTTATCCTGGCTCCTCGTTCTGTTTCCCTTTATCAATAAACTTTGATTGCTTAAACAACCAAGTAGGTTTGGCGGTACCTGTCATTCCTAGCCCTTTGAGGCTGTGGACAACAGTTTCCTTTCCAGGAAATGAAACAAAACTACCATCAAAATCTATTATGTTTGGGCCTGCACTTTACAAAAGTCTCCGCATATGTTTTTTTTCTGTGTTTATTTTCATAGGAGAATATCTCTTCTAGGAGTATCTTTATTCACACCATACTTCAGCATTTCCATTATATATAGCAAACCTCTTTAGATGGTTTCACATTCACTAACTCACTTGAATTTCCTAAACCCTTAGGCTATGTAAGTCAGACTTTATTCTTCCATTTTACAGTCGTGAAATTCAGACAGAAAAGAGTGAGCTCTTCTCACATGACTCAGCTCCCTCGATAGGGCCAGTGGAGGTGAGCAGGGTCAGCAATGTGGGGAGGAATGCAGGACCCTGGCTCCTTCAGGCACTCTGTGCCCTGGGGAAGTGCAGCCCTTGGCCTGGGCTGCCATTGGCTGGTCCTCCCAGCCTGGGGTTCTAAAGCTGGGATTCTCAGAGGCTCTTGATGCCTCCAGTTCTGTCATGTCTCCTGCCAATCCTTAGGACTGAAGCCAAACTCAGAGATGGGTAAGCACCTCCTGCTGCCACTGGTCATCCTGTCCTTGCTGCTGGGCTTCCTGCAAGGTGAGCTGGGGGAGCATATGGGAGGGCAGTGGGACTGAGGAGACCCTGGGTGAGTGGCGGTTCACATGTCCAGGAACCACTTCTCTCTTTGACTCTCTATCAGCCTACCTTGTCAGTAGAATGCACAGCACGTGAGATTGCCAAATAGGTTATGGTTGATCTGGGAAGTTTTCCTTTTGTAGGGATAGATTTCAATGTCTTTCTGCTTGTAAATTTGTTTTTCAGAATTTTGCTAGTTAAATACTTTTGGAAGCTAAAGTGTTTGGGTACTCTATTTGTTGAATATTATAAGATTTGGAGTTTTCTTGTAGAAACAGGATGGGCCCTCACCAAAATTTGATTCAGATGTCAACACTGAAGATGCCAAGTCTTGACATGCACCAAGAGGGTATTAAAACTTTATTGCTTAACTAGTGAAGCTACCTGGGGAGAGGAGGGCTTGCCTCCAGGCTGGTCTTAAGATGGCGTGAGGGGGCAGGGAAAGCAGGCTGGCTTGGGATTCAAGTGCTCATTAGGCAGAGAGGCAGGGTGAGGGCTGCTGCACGCAGACAGGGGCTTGTGTGGTTTGAAACTCCCACCACTGGCAAAGGAGGGAGCTCCTGGGGCCCAGATGTGGGTGGAAGAGGTGAGTCTCAGAGCTGTCAACTATCAAACATCAAAATAATGGAGTCGGACACTTTATTACATGAATAAAACATAGGGGACTCTTTCATCAAGTGGTCAATACCGTTGTAGGCCACTTGCCCTGAATCACAAAATAGTTCCTCAAAGGCTCAACCATTTTAAAAATCTGATGGATGACAGGGAACAGGGAGAAAGATTGCTGAACAGTATATTTTATTCCACATCACCTTCCTCACAAAACCTTTATAGTTATTCCACCTGTGTGCGTGTATACGTACATATATAGATATATAGAGAGATATATACAGTCATTTATATCTGATACACACACACACATATATATATATATACATGCAGACACACAGACACACAACACTATCATACTTGTTTGGACAGAATTGGGACACAATTAAAAATTATGTATTCACCACAATCAACTATAAGTGTATTTGCGTTCCATAGATTCTCAGTCGAGTAAGACGTTGTTTCTGCTGCAATGTTATGCTCCACCAGCATTTGTATTTATACTATCACCATGAAAATCAATGATTTTATGTTCAATGTGGACTTCTTAAACTGAATTTTCTAGCACTCACAAAAGGTCAGAAGTTTCCCCTTCTACAGAATACATTTCCACTGGTTTTATTTGGTTCCATGGATTCGTTGAAATTGGAATGATCTTTGGCAGTAACTAGAATCATTTGTTTGCAACGTTCTTCTCCTGCAAATGGAATCAGCCTGCTAATAGTCAGCGTTTCTTTTCTTGTATATTTACAGGAAGACTTGGAATAAAAACTATGCTAAATAAATTTAGAAGAACACTCATATGATCTAAATAAAAATTTATCATTTTAGTTGATGTTCGCCAGAATCTGACTCTGAGAGAAAGATAACAGTAAAATGCGTTTGTCTGGAAGGTAGTCCCAGGAAATACCTGCATGGGGAGTGAGGAAGAAGAACAGGGAAGGGAAGGAAGCTGATAAAGGATGTGTCATCGAGCTAGACAGCAGGGTGGGCAAGTGGAGCTTCACCCTGTGGGGACATTCTGAGGACAGGGCAGAGCCAGCCTCAAGCTACCCCAACTCAGGGGTGAGAAAGTTGGAGCATCATTCACCAGTATCCCCCACTGTGCTTGGAGAGAGATGTGTCCAGGGCTCCTGCTCTCTAATATTCCAGCTTGCCCTGGGTGCAAGGGAGTGTGCTCCCACCGCCCCCTGTGGACGTGCAGGTGTTGCAGGAGCAGCCTTCAGCGCCTGGAGGTGGAGGTGAGGGGTCGGGGGAGGGGATGCTCAGGCATCTGCTTCAGTCAGTGATGCAGGATTCAGCTGCTGCAGCTGCACATGCCCTTGTTGTTCCTTGAACGGAACAAGCTGACTCCATCTCAGACCCTTTGCACTTGCTCCTGTATCTTCCCGCAGCCAGTTTCCCAACTGCTCAGGGTTGTTTCAACAATCAACTTCTTTCTTTAAATCATCAAACTTCGAGTCTATTAAGCCTTCAGCAAACATTGCGGCGCACCCTGTCTAAAGTAACAGCCCCCCACCTCACCCACTGTCTCTGTCATGTGTCCTCAGTCTTCCATTCTTCAGGAGTCACTGGGACCTGAAATAATCTTTCTCATGTGTTTATTGTCAGTCATTCTCCCAATTTCTTGCTGAGTGTTTACGTAAATAAGTGAAACGTATGTTTCATCCTCCCTTTCATCATCTTTCTGAAGCCCTGGAATAGTGCCCAGCACATAGCAGGGGCCCAGTGCTTGCTGAATCCCTGCATGGGTGAGCTGGCTGCTCCCCCCAAGGCTGTGGAAGAGTGAGGAGATGCAGCCCCAGGGCAAACATTTGTAGGTGATGCTCACAGCTCCCTCCCTCCATCTTCTCCTTTCCTCAGTCTTCCACTGTCTGCCTCATCCTGCTCCTTCTGATCTTCTCTTTTACTTCCCATCCTCCATCACTCTCTTCCTTTCTCTCCCTTCCCCACCCCAATCAGAGCCCTTTTTAGACTGAGTCCCATGGTTCTCCTAAGCAGCTCTATGTTGGGGATGAAAAGGGAGAGTGGAGGGTGCCAGCCCTGATTGGAGGAGGGTGAGGAGGGGCCTCGTGGTGCTGCAGGGAGGATGGAGTGGGGGTGGGCTGTCCTGATTCTACACCGACTCCAACACTTCACTTGCTGTTCCCCTGCAGATGCCGTTCACATGGGATATATTTTGAATGGTGTCCCCTGGTGTTGCGCCACAGGGCAGCCCTGGGGTGGGGTGATGATCAGTTGGCGAGTGGGGTCAGGTGAGCTGCAGTGCAGCCCTTGACCTTCTTCCTCCGGCAGCACAGTCCATCCCTGGGAGTCGAGGGGGATTCTGTCTGTACTGGGCACAGACCCTGCACCCAGAGGCATGCGGGCCTCCTCCAAGGTATAAGCCAAGCACAGAGACATCACACCAGGCTTTCAGCACATTCAGCAGGTGGCGGGAACTGATCATTGTCCAGCCTGAGTCTGGGACAGAGTGTGTGCTCCCTCCCCTGACCAGTGGGGAGACTGGTCCAGAAGAGCCTCATTCTGCTGGTTTTACTTTCCAGCTCTTTACTGCTTTCATTGTGATCGAGTCAACGCCAGTGGGGTTTGCGTGAGTGGGGAAAGATTCTGCGAGACCACGGCAACCGAACAGTGCTATGTGAAGAAGGTCTATGAAGGTAGGGGGGTCCTAAGAATTCTCCTTGGGTGACCTTTGCCTGAGGGTTGGGTTGGTAGCTTGTATTCAAGGTAGAGTGCGGTATGAACCACCTATGGGACCACCTGGGAGCCTGGGCCCCAATGACAAGTCATGTGGCTATTAGACCTGGAAGGTGGGCCCTCGGGATCCCTGGGAGCAGGAGCAGCTTAGGCTGGGCGTTGGTTTCCTTTTTTATCTAAACTAGTGAAGCAGTATCAGCTGGTTCTGGTGCTCTGCTGCTACTGCCTGTCAATTGGGCTGATGGCGTGTAAAAGGAAAAACAGCAATTTTCTGTTTAGCTCCTGAGGGTGACTGGAATTGGGCTGCTCAAATTCCCCAGAGTAGTTGTGAATGTGGTGGAATTTTTGGGAGCTGGGGACCGAAGTCAGAAGAGAGGGGTTGAGGAGGGTGAGTAGGGCAATTTCTATTCCTCCCCTCTGCCCTCTCTTGTGTGGGGAGGTTCATTGAACCCTAGTATACTGAGCCCTCAGAGCTCTCCTAGGGACGCCCACTAGGAGGCCCAACCTCAAGAATCTTAATCTCAGGAGGAAGATAGTCATCCCTACTCAAGAGCATGAGTTCTTGATGGAATGTGCCATTTTCTCCTCATTCTTGATCAATTAGTTGATGCTTTGATTCAGTGCTTCATTTAGCAATATTTACTGAGTACAGGGTGCCCAGACATATGAGACCCCACACCCATGGATCTACAACGTGTGCTTCTGGGATCTCACTCACCTTCTTCTCTGCCTCTCTCTAGGTACCACCGTTTTGTTTGGATACCAGGGTTGTAAAAACCTATGTTTTCCTTTCATGGGCTGTAGTAATAAATATACTGTGGAATTGACATGCTGCAATAGCTCATCTTTTTGCAACAAGTTCTAAAGGCAGGACCCAGCTTTTGCCTTGATCTGGTGGATAAGGCAGATACGGCATATCTTTCAACTACCATAGTCTTCAAGACTCTTGTGACCTGAATATGGGCTCCCTCCAAGAAGTCTCAGACTAGTTCTGTTTTCAGGTCCCATTTCCTTTTCTTTCCCTCACTGCCAGATGCCACCGGGATATTCTTTAAAATCAAACTGGACATAGCTAGGTCCAAGAGTACCTTCTCCCTTTTCAGTCCCTGATTAAGAATCACATTGGTTGCTGCCTAAAAAGGCAGTGTTTGTGGGAGACTGTGATGCTTTTAATGCTGGGTGCTCTGGAGGCAGCAGCTGAAGGAAGAAGGAGAAACTTCTGAAGATGAAAAGGGTAGGAAGAGTGGGGTGGCCCTAAATGATGTATTAGCTGAGTGGGCTAGCTGCTGTAACAAAAATCTCTGAAATATCAATGGCTTAAAACAATAAAAAATGATTGCTGACTCATTTCACAGTTCAGCGATGTGGTGGTGGTTATTCAGGTACCCAAGCTCCTTCCAAGTGTTATGTCACCATCTTTCACACAGTCTTCAAGGTCTCCACAGAAGGGGAAGAAAGCATGGAGATTCTCACAGGGGCTTTTATGGCCAGAACTGGAAGTCCTGTATATCATTTCTGCCCACATTCTACTGTCACTTCACTCCATCAAAATTTCAATAAAGGTAATCTTGCAAGGTATAACCTTGCAATCTGCAATGTAATCTGGTGTTCCCAAGAAGAAAATGGATGGTTTGATGAACCAGTATATGGTGTCTCCCCTCATATGTTTCCCCTCAACTGCTCAGCCTTCTCAACTTGCATCTATAATATTTGAGCTCTCTTACAAAGGAAAGAATAACTCAGCCAATGAGCATTACAAAGCAAAATCTATTGATTAAATGTGAAAGGTTTATGACTTGACCAGGTTTCCCACTCGGATCCTCTCAGAGTCTCTCCCCATGGAGGCTGGAGGCCAGCCTGTCCCACTCATGCTCATTGGCCTGTCTGTGGCATCCAGTGCTCTTCTTTTCCTCTGGTTTCCATGTTGTTTCCCTCAGTGCTGCTCCAGGGGTCTCAGTGCTCTCTTTCCTGTGGGGACCTCCCTGAGAACCCCAGCATGCCTGTCAGTGATGTCATGTCCTCCTCCCAGAGCAGCCAGCCCTCAAGAGAGGTACTAGCCTCTATGATTCTCCATCACATGCTGTCCTTAAGGGACCAAGCAGACTGTTGGTGGTTCATCCTCATCTACAATTCCTGTCCTTCCCACTCATCACTTTGTGAAGAAAGCTTCTTTCAGCTTTCACCTGTAGATGCTTTTGTCACAGGACTCTGTAGGTGAGGGAAGACCTTTTCCTCCACTCACTTGTTTCTCTGGCTGGGGCCCTGCAAATTAGAATGACAGAAGACTGATTAAGAAGAGAACGACAGAAGTGTAATGATGATAGCATCACACATACATATGGGAGTACTCAGTCATGGGTAACTCAAAGCACTGATTAGAACCTGGGCTTATATAGCATCATAATCAAGAATGATAATTTTGTAGAGAGTGACAAGACAAGAGAAAAGGAGTGTAGGCTTTTAGGGATGACAAATTATGGGTAGGTAATAATATGTGGGAACTAATGTAAGATAAGGCCTGCTCAGTAAGGTTGTTTTATGTAGATTTCTCTGGGCAGAAAAGAATCTAGAGTTGCCTCTGGTGATTAAGCATCCTCCTGCCCTCCCTGGGAGAGAGGGTGAGGCCAGAGACTTTTTCTTGTATCTGCTTCTTCCAAACTGCCTTCATCTCAAAATAATCCTTCCGTCAAAGTGGCATATTTTGGGGTGAGATACTCTGATCTAAACTCTTCAACTCAAAATCATCCATGGGTTGGACAGAGTCAGAAAACTCACTGTTCCCTCTCTGCCTTTCTTCCTCATTACAATCCCAGGCACCTACCCCAAACTTCCTTTTCCCAGGGCTCCTCTCTGCCTATGCAAATTATTCCTGAGTTTTGATGCTGAGGGTGGAGCTGGAGTCATTAGCTGTGCACCTGAGTCTTGATTAAGCTCAGCAGGGGGCATCTGATATCTTTGTGGATTCAATTACCCATGAATCATTGTACAGATGCTGCACACTCTGATTTTAAACCCACTCAGTCTGATGTCAACTGGCATTTCTAACAAAACTCTTTATTCATCCACTGGGTGTTTCATTTCCTCAAGAAGTTTTCCCTCCTCAGAAAAAGTCTGGTTCTAATAGTGGTTATCACCTGGTAGTGGTGGCAGGATGGCCATGTTTGCCTCTGTATGGAGGTCAGGCCCAGGCTCACAACGTGCCGTGAACTGGGTGGGAGAGTGTGTTCTGACACATCCACTCAAGGGCCAAACCATGTGACCATTCCAAGACTGTCTCCTCTGGTCTCAGTTGACTGGATCAGTGGCAGACACTTGACCAAAGCAGGATCAGCAAAATCTTGTCTCCTGGAAAATTTTATTGAATTTGAGATACCTATTCTCTCATATGATTAGACCTATAATACGAAACTCTGGTGGGGTGGGGTGCCATCTTCATCCATGTGATAGAGAATCAGAGAGAGTCCATCTGCAAAGACAGAAGACTGAAGCAAACATGAGAGAGCAGAGGCATCCATGTGTGAGAGAGCCTGAAGTTCTGACCTCTTTGTCGGTCTGGATTTCTGCATCCCATCTCCCACCCCCAGCTCAGGCCAGGAGAAATTCCTGACAAAGCTGTCCTTGATTGATCCAAGTTGTCATATTCATCCATTTGCTTGTTTCTTTCACTTGAGCTCCTTTGACTTGGGCTCGTGTTCGGAACTGTGAGAAAGTAGCTGCTAACAGCGGCTGAAAAAATCCCTACAATAAATAGCAAAACCCAGCACCTCCTGCAGAAACAGTCTTCCGCTGCCTGGTGGTGTAAGTGAACACGTAGGAAAATTGAATCCATTCATCTCTTTGGGAAATGCTGGGAGGAAAAGTCAGTGGGTGTCTGTACCTAGGACCTAGTTTTATAGGATGTCCCTCCTTCCTCAGAGCACTTTCCCCACTTAGGATTTATTTACCAAAAAGAAAGCACTGTGGAAAGGGTAAAACATTTTCATTCTATAGGAAAAACAGACTTGGAGGGGTGAGGAGGAGAGGCAGTGGATCCAGGGCTGAAATCTGTTGGATGAATTGCTTGGTGTTAGAGCCATGACCTCCTCTCCACTCCCCAGGGAGCAGGAGTCAGTGTGGGAACAGCACCCAGGGGACTAGAGGTGCCCTCTATGTTGGCTGTCTCTCAGCACGTTTGATTGAAAACCCACGCGAGTTAATTTAGGTAAAGATGGTTCCCTGTCAGGGTACAGGAGAATTTCAGACACCAAGTGCAGAAACGTAAGTAAGCCTCATGGGAAGAGGGAATGTGTCAGGCAGCCATGTCTGGCATTGTACGTGTTTGGGGCATGAGGGTCAATCTAGGTGCTGTCACATGACTTTCAGGTAGAAGATCAGATTCTGCTTCATAAAAAACCTCTCTCTTACTCAAATTATCTTTTTGCCAAACCTTTCAGTCATTTCCTCTGTCCTCCTCTTTCTTGTGTCTGTAGGGTAGCTGCTTGTCCTACCTATTCTGAGGCAGGCATGATTCATGTTAATGCTGCCCACTCACCTGAGAAGAACCAGAGGGTATGTTCTGAACTCCCTCCGGTCATGGTGGGGTGAGGTGTTTTTAGTTGTTCCCTGAAACTTTCCTGCCGAATTTTGGAAACTTGCTTATTCCTAGAAAGGATTGTGGGCATATGGCCACGAAGAAAGAGAGTATTATGGTCTGAAATGCAATTTAGACATGGCTGACACCCTTTAAAAGAAAAGAATGGAAGAAGAGGAGGAGGAAGGAGCAGATTACTGAGCAAAACTGTCTATCAGCCCAGCCCAGCTTCTGGAACATAACTGACCGTTGGAATTGACTGCAGAGAGAGGTCAATTTCTGGATTTCTCAGAATTTCTACTGGAAAACTGGGAACTTAGAATTTTTCAGAGGGAAGTAACTAACTGGCAGATGAAGGAATTCCTGAAGGTGATGGATGAAGAGGAATCAGGAGGGGCTCCATCATAACTGCTTCGTTCTCTCATATCTGCAAAGTCCAATCTACAAATCCAACAACAGGAGAAGGTGTTTGTTAGTCAGGCACCCTGAGCAATGTTGTAAAGAGGATGGAGTCGTACCCCATGTACATGCAGGGGGTGGGGGGGCAGGGCCCACCTTCAGTCCATGAAGGTCAATTTCCTCTTCCACTCACCACCTTCCAGAGTACCACTGGCATTGAAGACTTCTTTCCCAAGCCCAAGTGTAAAGGGGGCTCTTCTCCAGCCTCTTCATCTCTCCATGATGCTCAGCTTTTCTGTGGAGCCAGGGCTTTTCTGACAATTACTCAATGAGAAAAGTCAGCCTGTTGTGCACAGTTGCCTGCTCTATGTTTTGGGAGATGAGTCCCAGTGGTTGAGTGGTATACACTTCGAGCTGGAGTAGAGCGTTGGGGAAGGCAGGCTCTCAAAACCTGACTGGGTGCCTCACTGTTCACAAGGAACAAGCTGCTGCACACTCAAGGCCCCTCTTGTCTTTCCCATGGGCATTTCTGACTTGTCTTGTGTGTGGGTTGCGTGTGCTCCAAAGGCCAGAAAAGAGGTCTCAGGCACAGAGTGGGTAGGTGTTGGCTGTGAGCAGCCTTTGGGATGGAGAGGGAGTGCTGAGAGCAGGATGTGGACACGGCACCAACAGTGCCTGCTATACCCATGAGCTCATTCATGCCGCTACCTTTTCCCCCAAGGCTGCTTACTTCAGTCTTCTCAGTTCTGCCTCTTCCTAAGGGGCAAATAGGCTGCTCATATTCCATCTTAGTTTCTTCCCTGCGGTGGTCCGGAAAAGCACTGGCTTGAGTTTTGACAGGAAAATCTTGGAGTAAAGTGAGCCGGAGGGTGGTGGAATTCTCTTTAGAAAGAAGTAGAGTGCATATGGGATCTAATTCTGGCACAATGAATACCCACTTTTCATCCATGAACGTATGAATGATTTTTAAATAGTTCACCCCAAGCTGCATTTTGTTACCAAAGTTGTTCAATCTCAGTAAAATATATCCAGTTCTTGTGATTGTGTCTGCTCTTGGCATTTGTATCTTCAGGTGAAGTAGCCAATAGTAATACCAACAATATCAATCATCAGTTGCATAGATACAAAGCAGTACTTTTGCATGCATTGTATCATTTGACTCACAGCTCTGTGAGGGAGCTACTAATATTATTGCCATTTTATAGTTGAGGGAACTAAAGCCTAGAGAAGTGTAATAGGTTCCCAAAGGAATGGAAGCAGATTCCCACCCGGACACTCTGTCTCCAAAGTTCACAAAACTGCCTTCCCTTCCAAAAGTTAGAGATTGGAGCTGGGATAGGAAAACTTTCTCTCAAATGAAGCAGAGAGTAAATATTTTAGGCTCTGCTGG